CTGCGTCAGAACACCCTTTTTCCGCACCATGAAGACCCACTCGCCCGATAACCTTTAAAAGACGTTTCTGAAGCCCGTTTGCAACCCGCCAAGCCCACTTGACTCCTACTTTAAATTAGCCTCAACTGACGCCTAATGAAACTTAAAGACCTGTAAATACTCATGTTTAGGACGAGATTAGGTTTCATACATCTTTTTCGTTTTAGGTTAGCCACCAGAAGTTTTGTTTTTAAGTTAGCCACCAAAAACATTAGGCGGCGTGATCTCTTCGAATCTTCGATAGGAGCTCGATTAAGATTTATAGCCGCCTAGGTCTCTCTTCGTTTTGTTCTTTTTATTATCTGTTCCTTATCCATGTTTCTATTTACTTCAATATATTTAATATGCATTCATCTCTTTCATTTCTACTCGCGCAAATCATGTTAGGGTAGATTCGTTTTGTTGGGTTTCTAAGGGTTATTCATAGGGAATTTTAACCATTGCTATTCTGTCTATTCGTTTAGTCTTGTTCTTAGGATTGTCTTTAGCCAATTTTATTTAAGTAACAGATTTTAGCATCATGAACTCGAATATATCATCTTAGGATTGTTATAACTAAACATGTGTTCTAGAATCCCAATCTAGCTTAGGCAATCGAGAAGTGTAAGGGGCTAACTGCATCACTTACGTGGCTTCGTGATATATATAACAAATGAAATTGAATGGTTCTAGTTTGAACGTACTTAGAATGAAATTGAATGGTTCTACTTTAAAGAAAGCTGATTAAGTGCATTGATAGTGTATAGAGTTTCATGCTAAGTTAGAACCCCTATGATTTCCTAAAGAACCTAGTGTCCTCTTTACTTGCTTTTCATTTATTTACTTTGTTTCTTGCTACTGTCCACAAAACTCACAACCCCAAACCATCTTTTGTTGTAGTAACGTTTTCTAACCTTTGTTGATTTGGCAGTTAGGCGTGCACTCCCTATGGATCAATATCTTAAGTACTACAATGCATATCTACACACTTTCAGCTTAGGTTTTTTTATAAATTTTAAAACACGAGAAAATCCTTATGAAACATCCATATTTTGGATGGCTACTTTCGACCCTATCTTCATCTATACTTCGTAGGAGCAAGCAAGGGACGATGGAAAAATATTTTGGTCCTGATTTTTAGATTTGTTTAGTTGAAAGTTCAAGAGACGAGATTGGATTCCAATACTTATATTTTTATCATATTGGTAATGATCCTAGGAATTATGGTGAGGCTATGAAGCCTCAAGACGTTGCATTATGGAAAGAAGCAATAAATGATGAGATGGACTCCAGGTGGGTCTTATCAGATCTCCCACCTTGTTGCAAGCCTTTGGGCAAGTGAACCTTCAAAAAAGAGATGAAAGTTGTTGGGACTTTTGACAAGTTTAAAGCTTGATTGGTTATCTAAGGCATTAAACAAAAGGAACGTATTGATCACTTTGATACATATGTTCCAATTGCTAGAATCTCTTCTATAAGGTTACTGATTGCTTCTCAGCTATTAATAATCTTGTGATTCGCCAAATGGATGTCAAAACAGCATTCTTGAATGGAATTTTAGAAGAGGAGTATGAAGCAACCTGAAGATTTTATTATTCCTGGTAGTGAGCAGAATATGTGTAAGTTGGGTTGTAGCAGGCACCTAAGCAGTGGCATCAATGGTTTGATAAGGTTGCCTTATCAAGTGGATTTAAGTTAAATTAGTCAGATAAGTGTTTATATAGAAAATTTTCTTCTATGTTGATGGCATGTCGATCTTTGGCACCGATCTTAGATAAGTAGAGCTTGAATCAAGCGTGGAGGCAAATGACTATCTTTGACACAATCTCATTACATTGAGAAAGTGCTTAAGAAGTTTAATTGTGAGAATTGTACTACAATGAGCACTCTCATGGATGCGAGAGTGAAGCTTATGCCTAATATGGGACAAGCAGTGTCACAACTCGAGTATTCACAAGTAATTGGCTGCTTAATGTATGCTATGACGAGAACCAGTCCATATGTAGCTTATGATGTAGGAAGTTTAATTAGATACACTAGTAATCCTATTTCTCAACATTGGCAAGCCTTAATGATACAAGCCTGAAAATACTTCAAGTTTGTTTCTTAGAATCTGTTGCTTTAAGCTGGATATGATGGAGGAAAGACTGAATGGTTTTGTAGTCTAGTTGGTGCTTGATGACCTCAAACGCCAAAGGTTATATTCTTCTCAGCTAAAGGGCTAATCCTCACAAGAGCTTAGGAATCCCTCAAGTCTCACAAGTCTCTGAATCCCTCAAGATAACTTGTTGAAAACGCAGGAACAATTTGAATGCAAAGATAAACTATTCCTTGGAAACAAAATAACTTTCTTTTTGATTATAACTTGGTGAATGAAAATACATGAGGTAAAGAGCTTATATAATGCTCAGAATTATGAAATAAAACGGTAACAAGAAGTAATAAAAAGCATAAAAGATGGGATTTGGTCTTAGCTCCATTTTCCTAGCCATTGGGCTTTAGTGTGTTTGATTTTGTCTTGAGCGCTGAATGGGGGAGTTGCGATGATTCTTTGGCACGAAATGAATGTATGAAATCCTCCAGAGATGATGTATGGTCGGGGTTGACTGATGAATGATGGTTTTGGTCTGACTTTCCCTTAGAAGTGAGGTAATGATCTCTGAATAAGGAAGGTGGCTTCATGGCTGATTCTTCTTGGTTTTGACTCGGTTTGGGATGGTTTAGGAATGGATTTCCTGGTCTTGAATGTCTTGAAAGGCTTCTTGGTGGTCGGATATGGTGGTGGGGCGAATATAATGTCATATGATCCCTTGTTTCCTTAACTAGCTCCAATGTTGCTCCTTTTGGTGGTTTGAAGGGATTTGGCGGTTCTGGCTTGATTTGAATGAAATAACTCCGGTTTGTAGCTTCTTTATCTTTGTTATTCTACAAAGATTGGTTGCATAATATGTTGGTAATAATAGTTTCCATAGCTGGCTCCATAGATACACATGTTGGTCCATGTAAATGATTTTGCGGTTTAGATGGAATATCTTCTGAATTAGTTTGAGCCGGCTTGGGTTTGGCTCGATCAAATGGTCCCTCTAAACATATAGAACACTGGCGTTTTGGTGTTTGGACCTTAGCTGCTCCATCCTCAGCTACAAAGCCTTCATTCCCCACGGCTACAAGCTGTTCTACACCATCATTAGCTCCAAGGCTCCACTTATTGGTTGGTTTAGTTGCATTGAATTGGAGTCTTACATCACTTAAGTCTGGTGCTTAAGTACATGAAAGGAACCATAAATTATGGTTTGTCTTATGATAGATTTCCTTTGGTCCTATAAGGGTATTCAGATGTAAGTTGGATTTAGATCAACAACGTGGAAGAGCATTCTTCCACAAGTGGTTGGGTATTTTTGCTGGGGGGGGGGGGGGGGGGGTGCCATTTCATTGGATTCTAAATAAAAAGAAAACTTTCATTATAAGTTTGACTATAGAATCAGAACTTGTAGCATTAGAAGCTGCCGTTAAAGAGGCATAATGGCTAAGAAATTTAGTTTACGAGATTCTATTATGGACGAGACCATTATCACCAATATCTATTCATTATGATAGCCAATATACCTTGGCTAAGGTATTTAGTAAAGTGTATAATGATAAGTCGTGACACCTAGGCATTAGATATAGTGTGGTACGTAAGCTAATCACTCATGGGATGATTAGCATAGAATTTGTTTGGTCTCAACATAATCTTGCGGATGACTTGACAAAAGGATTGGCTAGAGACTTAGTAACTAAGTTGGCTAAAGGGATATGGTTAAAATCCATTTGAATTCTTTAGTGATGGGATACCCAATTCCCCTCTAATATGACGTTAGAGGCTGAATTCAATGTAGAAAGCCATCACTCAAAGATTGAAGCACATGTTCATATCATCTGAGGGTATGTGCTTGGACCTGCAAGAAAGAGATTGGTTGAAGTTTTATTCTTAATAAATATTTTTAAAAAATGCATTTTGCAGGTGCATGATTCAAATATTTAGCTATATGAGTGTCAAGTGCAGCCGCTTCAAGAAGCTATCACTTGGATTTGTATGCGCTCATGAATAGATATGGACACATGGAACATCTTCAAGAAGCTATAATAGTGTCAAGTATATACACTTAATGTAGTGTGGAAATTTGTGTGTGTATTATCTTCATGTGCCCAAATGAGTTGAGAGGATTCAATCCATAGGACATCCTGATTTTCTGGGCATTTGAAATATGTAATATCACTAAGATAAAAAATTTAATCATTACCACATTTTCATTATGCATAAGTTTGGATATGTGTTGTTTATTGAGTGATTCTATGATTATACTTAAAATGGGAAGCAATGCCGGAAATTTAAGTGAATCAGTGCAACTGTTGACGAATTGTTGCAACTGCTTAAATGAATCATTGCAACTGTTGGGTTTATGGTTATAACTTTTGGTGACTAACAATTGCAACTGTTGGGTTTATGGTTCCAATCTTCAGTAACTAATCATTGCAACTATTGGTGATCAACTATTACAATCCGAACAACCATTGTAATCTTTTGAAGTGACTTTTGGTTTCTTATAAAGGGAGTTATGGACACTGTCAAAATCATTACAAAAAAACAGAAAATAGAAACAAATAAATTAAGAAATACAGAGAGATCTTTGAAAAAACACATATCAACACCATAATTCTAGTATGTCTCTTGTATCTTAACCTAGAAGAAGAGAGACTTTTGGTTACCTTATCCTACAAAAGATTTCTTGTAACCCAAAATTTGACAAAAATTAAAATATATTTTAAAGAAAGTGTCATCGTTCACGATTCAGTCATTATCTAAGTTCACAATTTATATTCGATCTTAGAAAACAAACATGTGGTGCAAGTAAGAACCAGTAACTTAGCTTAATGAATATTTTTTATAAGGTTCGTTGGAACCTACTTTTTAGGTAGTTGAATTCAAAGAAGAAAACAATCTCGTGTCATTAATAAGCTGCCAAAAACTCGAAACAAAGAAAAGCAATAGCTTAAAATCCTATGTCACAAGTGACGTAGGAGAAGATAACATGCTAGACTTGAAAAGTCTATCGAAAACGATATATTGTATTGAAAATAAATCAACATAACAGAAAAAAAAATGTAAGACTCATAACACTTTAAACCAAATGATGATAACACTTTGCTGGATCACCAAACCTTTGTGATCGATATTTTGTTTACATTTGCCCATCAGTCACATAATGCTGCATTCCAGTCGACCCAGTCGGGGAGGTGGAAGCAGGAGCTGCTGGCCCTGCTGAAGTGTGTCTTTCAGGTAGCGCATCTCTCTTTCATGTGCTTCTGAACTCCGTTTTAGGGCAGTCTCCAACTGAAAAACAACCACAGTATATTGAATTAACTACATGTCGTGAAAGTAGACAATATTTTATGGAAAAGAATTTACCATCTGTTCCATCATTTTCATGGTGTCCTGATACTCCATTCGTGACTTCTCCTTCATCGCTGCTATATCTGCCTCTGCAAGATTTTTATATTCAGCCTCCCTTTCTATTTCCCTGAGCTTATCATTTTCTTCCTGAGAAAACAAATTAAGATTTCAGACATTTAAAACAAAATGTATGCTTACTATAGAAATTTGAAACAAAAGATATAGCTTGCTAGCGACAACATTAATATATGAATAACATGTTAGATTGTTCATGTGATTGATTAAAAATTGTTCGCGTATATGACTAAGTGACATGAGAATGACCATTGCACTTATTATTTTGTTGATTTTGCGTCTGTATTGTAGTTAGTGGTGTCAAAATGCTTCAACGTAATTTCTTTTTTTTTTCGTAATGGGTTAGTGGATCAAATGGATTGATGATGAATTAAATGGGTTAATGGGTTGAAATGGTTAGCCGCTCACTCGGACTCATGGCCTCGGCTAAAGGCTGATAGAGAGGAAAATACCTCTCCTTGTTCCCTGGGAAGAAGAGGCTAAAAGTCATTGTTCTTAATTCTTATTAGTCAAGTACGCATAGGAATAAAGAGAGAAGAAAGCTAGGCGGAAAGCTCGGACACCAACCTCAAAGGGCGGTGTTGACCCTGTTAAAGTACAGGGAAGATCCGTTTAGCCAAAACGAAAAGATCTTCTATAGTCTAGTTAGGGGGTTGATTTTTGTCATTCCTCAATGAGTGCTGCTTTTGACTGCTATCCCTATAGGTATGACCCTGGAGGGCCAAAAGTTGCATTTCTTGCTTCTTAAAAAGCTGATTGTGAAGAGGGTCTGGTCTGCCCTTTGAATCTCCTCGAGCCGGGTCTTGTCAATCTTTTTCCCTCGCCCTGGGGAATTGTAGCTCTGTCTCTGCCTATTATGCTGGTACCCCATGTTACTAATGGAAAACGTTCGTTCGAGACCCCGTGTGTGCTTTGATGCTGACTGAGCTACCGAAGCGATGTTGGTTAGGATTGCAAGAGCCTACTCAGTTCTTGTTCTTCCGACATGGGATATTGGCCGACTAAAACGATGTGTCTTGCAATCCTAACCAACATCGCTTGCTGACCTGGTACCTTAAAGTCTTCACCCTTTGAGAACACCCGAATCCGAGTGGCTCCTCAAGAGACTCTAAGACAGATCATCCGTGTCGGATTCCCCTAACTTACTTAATTTGGGGTAATCCCTTTTCGGGTTCTAGAGTCGACAAGCCCATAAGATGATACTTATGCCCAGAGACTGACAACAGACTTATCTTTCCCATACGGCTCTATAAGACATCCATGGAATCTTTCCACCCCTAACATCTCTATTCTTTCTATTCCGAATGGCGCCCAGTATTTTGAAGTATGGTTGTATACTTTTCCTGCCTGGAACTCCTGAATTAATTCTTTTCCTATAGGAAGGAACTCAAGCAATTAATCCGGCATCCGTAATGCTGTGACCTTATGAGACCACCTATCGTTTGATAGGAGCGGAGAGAACAATCAAACCACCATCATTAAACTATTATATACATTATTTCATTTCACAAGTAGTCCTTCCAGAAAATATGATAAACCTCTAAAAATACAGTTTCACTAATTTACCCGCCAAAAATGTTGATTTTGCTGCCAAAATCCAGTTTTGATATTTTCCGTCAAAACTTTCTTACCAAGCAAATCAGGTTCCATGATTTTTTCCCGCCAAAACGCTGTTTTGACAAAATATATTATTCATGGCAAAAAAAAAAAACGCTGTTTTGACAAATTTGCAACAAAAAAATTACAGTTCCACTCTTTTTCTGCAAACATATATTTTCTTGATTTTTCCATTAAGAATGCAATTTTTCACAAGCTTTCACGTCCAAACTCTGATTTTGGTATTTTCCAGCCAAAACATTGTTTACACAAATTTCTCCTAGTTGTGGTGTAGCCGTGCAGGTTTAAAGATGGGTTAAGAAAGTGACTTGGATTACCGTATAGTTCACGAGAAAGCAAAACATAATGTTAACTTCAGATGTTCAAATCAAAAGAAAAATAGTGTTTTTTTTCTTTCCCGTGTTCAAGTCTTGGTATTATCTAAAGGCAAAACATATTCGAGAGATTTATTCACATTGAATGAATGTCCAACACACTCTATTTTGTTTACCTTTATTTTACGGTGCATATTGTCCGTATATGGTTTCCCACCAGTTTGCCTTTCAACATCTGCTATGTGAGCCAAAAGCTGCTTAAGTTGATCAGCCTTCTTGTCTTTATTGGTTGTCCTGTTATTAAACAAGACCTTTCTTCCACCACAGAGTCTGAGAACTCGCTGAAATTTCATAACAAATACAGTTTTAAGTTTCTTTTTTTCTTAAAGAGAAAGATTAATATCTGCATTTAAAAAATAGGCCCAAAAAAATAAGCTTAAGATTGCTAATGAAAGCAAACACACCGTCAGAAATTCAGGGCAGCCTTCACGCAAATAATCATCCAACGTCTGCTCGTCCTCTTCCAACTCGTCCCCACCGGTGAACACAACAATGAAATAGTCAAGAATTTTGCTCTCGAATATGCGCTGAAAGGTATTAAGTGTGGATTCTTCATCCTGTGAAATCCGATTCTTCACGGATAAAACAAACAGCACAGCATGTATTCCATCTTCCGCCATAGATAAGCAATTGATGATTTCCTTACTAAGATAGTCAGCGGACACAGACAAGTCGAACAAACCTGTATCATATAGCATAGTTAGGTCAGACTTTGATGATTATTTAAATTAAATGATACATTATGACCCATAATAAAAAAGTAATATCAACTGTAGTGTACAAATAAACCCACCCAAGGAATATTTTATAGAATAAATGATCCAAAATAATTCAGAATGAGAAAATAATGTGAAACGGGTATTTTATTAAGGAAAATTAGTGAAAATGACTCATAATTTATGGTTTTTTAAATACCAGCACTACTATTCTATATAACTTTTACTTATAGCCTAATGACAGACTAATGACAGACTACTGGTAGACTAATTGGTTTTACAATTGAATGTAGACTATTGGCAGACTAATAACAGACTAATAGCAGATTAAATACAAATTACTAGCAGAGTAATGACAGATTAAAAACACACTAGCGGACTCTTTTTATGGGTCATTTTAGGTTGATCATGTTTCGTAATAAAATTGGTAAGTGGGTGGTTTCAAACATTATCCCTATTTCATTAAGAAAATGATCTAAAATGAGCCATAATAGGAAAATAATGCAAAACATATATCCTATTGAGAGAAAACTATAAAAATTATATTTTAAAGAAATATTTTATAAATACTAGCACTATTTTAGTAGCTCATATGTAAACTAATAACATACTAAATGACGACTACTGGCAGACTGACTGATCATACACTTGAAAGTAGATTAAATACAAACTAACGGCACTGAAAGCATACTAATAAACCTTTTATGCTTCATTATATAAAATTGTCAAATAAATTATTTAAATAAATAAGCCTATTTTATAAATTTTAGAGCTATATGTCTAACTATTTTTTCCATTACATACTAATGACAGATTAATTCATTATATAAATGAAATTAAACTAAATGCACACTAATTGCGATAGGTAAACTAATAACAAACCAAGGACAAACTAGATATATACTAGATTTTTACTCGCGCGTTGCGCGAACTTATTCATTAATTTTATTAAAATTTTATATATTTATATATATTATATATATTATATTAAATTAATATTATTGTATGTTATATTTGTTTTTAATTTTTTAAATATTTTTGTTATCCTAATATTATATATATATATATATTATAAAATTATTTTTCTAATATAGATTGTCATGTATTAATTGTTATATTCTTACTGTTTATCTGTATTCAATTGATTTCTCATATTTTTCTACATCTTCTTTTCATAGATCAACAAAGTGAAATCATCATTGGTCTTTCTTCACTCTAAACTAAATATTCCTTTAATTTTTTATGGAATCTACCTCATTTTCAAGCACAATTAATCCTTTATTTTTTCCCCTTTCTTATAGCTTTTAGTCTTGCTATTCTGATTGCAATATACTGATTTTTTTTCTTATTTCATGCAAGCTTCCATCTCATTCAGTTCTGTGATTGGTTATAATTCTAAATGAGGAGAATTTTAGTTAGAGTTGGCTAGACAGAGCAAAAAATCTGTTCAAATACTACATATGTTTGATGAGTTTTTATATCAAAAAATTATGCATAGTTGCTAAATTGTTGATTTTAATTGATTTGAGGCGGTTTCTTTTTTCAATTATGAAACTACATGACTATATTTGTGAATGTGTGAGAATATTTTTGTCTATTTTCATATCATGTGAATGTAAACAACATGACTATCTTAAAAATATAATCAATAATCTTGTTTTAGTTTATCTATATATTTTAAATTAAAACTAATATATTATCTGGTTGATGATTAATGTGATCGCATATCAATTTTATATTACCATCATTAAGAAAAATGGTTGATAAGTATTTGCCATTTTTTTCTCCTTCGTTTAAATCAAATTCATTTATATGCTATATGATTACACACTATATTTTTTTATTTATGAAAAAATTTCACTCATTTTATACAGTAAAGTGGATATGAATGATTTTACTTTAGTTTTAAGCATTAATATTTCTGAGCATTTTTAAATAAGTTTGATAACTATTCTCAGCAAGTTCTTCTGTCATATTTCGTAATTGTTCATTTTCCAACTCTTTTTTCAAATTATATTTGTTTATATTTGAAATAACTTTTTGATTTTTTTATTTCAAAGAAAATTTGTAGATTTTATAGTTTATAAAAGGGAAATTTCCATAATAACACTGAAAATAAGTTTTCAAGACAAATATAACAGGGAAGCTAAAATTTTTCCACCCCTAACATTTTTCATTTGAGTTTTCCGATTTTACCCTTTAGGAAAGTCTTTCTAAATATTTTTCTGTTAATATTTCGTGATTTTTTTAGGAAGGTCTTCTAAATACTAGAATTGAACATCGTTTCATATGGTTTAGGAAAGCTTTCCTAAATTTTTTAAAATTTCCCGAATTGTGGAAGGGCTTCCTGAATTATGGAAGGGTTTCATGAATTGTGGAAAGGCTTCTTGAATTTGAGTTGTATAAATTAACAAAAATAATAATCAATTATACGATTTACGAAGGCATTCCTAAATACATGTAATGACTTCCTTAATTTATATATTTTAGGAACGTCTTACTAAAACTTTAGAATATCTTCATAAATTTACGCTCATCTTCTTTCTCACCTCTGCGACATCAAAACCCTAATTTCCACCGATTTCTTTTTTTTTTAACCATTGTTGTTGTTTTAGCTCGGGTTTCTTGAGCTTTTCACCCAAATATATCAGTTCTATCTATCATTATATGATTTTGAGCTTTAAATCCTGAAATCACTTTCCCATAAAAAACCCCCAAAAATCTAAGAGATTCACAATCACAAATCACAATCAAATGAGAAGAGTGATCCTAAACAAAACAAATGATTTGATTTCAGATCAGTCTTGGCCATTGATACTTTTGTTTATACATTATCTTTCTTCTCTTTTTATTAACTAATGTTTTATCTAACTAAGATTAATATGGTACAAAATGGTATGGAAGGAATTTTTTAGAGTGTTAGTGTATATGTGGAAAAAAACTTAGATTAGGTGCATTTGAGGGAATTTCTCTTTATAAAATAATTATTTATTTAATATATACGATTTTACTATAGCTTTATATATAAATCTTTCTAAAGTTTCTTTATAAAGTTTGATTATTATTTTCTGTAAGTTTTTCGAATAAATCCTTCCAAACTCCTTTTCACAAATGAAGAATTTGTAATTTTTATGATTTGTAAAATAAGTATTTGTTTTTTTCAAATTAATAATATTAAAAGCCCAAAAATAAATACCCAAAATATAAAAACTTAAAAACAAAACCAAAAATATTTAAAAGCCCCTTATAAAATAAAAATTATGCTGATGTGGACACCTTAGATGGAAAGATAACTTGCTCATTATATATATGATTAGTGAACGTCACCTCTTATAATTTTCGATCTGAGAGATCTTATTTTTACATTAAAATTGTCAAACCGGACTAATTAAACAAATATCTGTTATTATTACTAGGTATTTATCCGCGCTACGTTGCAGGATATTTTTCTAGATTTTGTATATATTTTTAATATAATAAAATTATTTTTATAATATAAATGAGTATTATATTTATTTTTTATGAGCTTAAGTTATGTATTTATATGTTTTAAATCTGAATAAACATTATATATCCTTAATTTTTTTTATTTTTCAAAATTATAATCTACTATCAAATTTGTTTAGTTAACTATCTATAAATATATATGTAAGAATAAAACAATACATTTTTAAGTATCTTCATGCTAATGGCAAATGTAATTTATTTTCTCTATTAAATTGCCACTTAATCCTCTTTTGAAATTATATAAAGCAAATTGCATTTTTTTACTAATTAATGTGATTATTTTAAATTATAAAATTTATTTATTTATCAAATATTTATTATAAAAATATGTTTCTAAAACTACCAAACTATAATCAATAACACTCATATCAAAACCATTGCTATTGCTTTAGAACTAAATAGAAAGTTATGTTTTAATTGTTGAAATATCAATTTAGTTGAAGTTATATAATTCAATTTTGGTTATTATAAACATATTGTAACTTAAAAATTTAGCATAGAATTTTTTTTATCTTTTTACAAAAACTGAGAAATTGCATTTTCCGACAAAACAAAAAAAATTATTTTCCCACGAAACTGAGAAATCGTACCCACAAAAACCAACAAAATTCATTTTCTCGTCAAACCTGAAATTTTATTTTCTTACCAATACAAAGAAATTGTATTTTCTGCAAAAACAAAAAAATCACATATTCCCGCGAGAACCAGTGTTTTCCTGCTAAAACAGAGAAATTAAGTTTTTTTCACCAAAACCAAAAAAATCATCTTCCTGCAAAAACCAAAAAAATCGTATTCTCCCGTCAAAACCGAAAAAATTATTTTCCCGTAAAAACCGAAAAATCGTCTATTCCCGAAAAAAAAAGTTATTATCAAACCAAGAATCACGCTTTTCTACCAAAACTGATAAACTATAATTTTCCGCAAAAACCAAAAATCGCATTATCTCCAGAGAAATTGTGTGTTCCTGTGAAAACTAAGAAATCGTATTTTACCGCGAAAACCAAAAAATCACATCATATGTCAAAAACTGAAAATTTGTATTTCTCATCAAAACCGAAAAATTGTTTATTCCCGCCAAAATCGAGAAATTTTGTTTTCCCATCAAACCGAGAAATTGCATTTTCTTCTAAAATTGTCAAATTACAATTTTCCGCGAAAATCAAGAAATCACATTATCCATCAAAAGCCAAAAAATTGCATTTCCTATCAAAACCGCGAATCGTATTTTTCATTAAAATTCAAAAGTTACATTTCCCTAGCATTTTCTCGTCAAAACTAAGATATTTTGTTTTCGCCTCAAAATGTAATTTTTTTTTTCCTCACCAAAACCAAAAATTCACATTTTTCCGCCAAACCCGAGAAATTTTTTTTCCCGCCATAACCTAGAAATTAGGTTTTCCTATCAAAACTGAAAATTACATTTTCATACCAAAACCAAGAAATTCTCTATTCCCGCCAAACCCAAGAAAGTTTTT